GGGCATCTTTCTAATTTAACTTGTCTATAGCTGTAATAGGTTCTGTAGAATGTTTCTAGTCCTAGCTTTAATGTAGTTTAGAGCTATATAAGACTTAATATAAAAACATTTTAATTATTGCATAAGGCAAAGTTATCTAAGCCTAATTAATTAGAGGCAGTAAGAAACTCTAGTTATTTTAGTAAAAAGATATAAAAGGCTTTAGTCTTTAATTAATATACTTATTTATAATCTCTGTTTAGCTATCTGTTTCTTTATAATAAGCAGTAAAAAGCTTAACTTTTACGCCTAAAATTTAATAGAATTTAGACTAGAAACTAGATATAAACTAAAGTTCTTAATTAGAAATAATAGTTTTAGGTATATAGCTAAAATAGTACACTTATTAAATAAATAAAGCAGCTATTTTCTAAGCGTTAATTATTTTATAGTAGGGGATAAAAATAGCTTATTTTAATAAGTAATTAATTATAACTATAATTTAATTATATTTAGACTTGTCTTTAGAGAACTTGTTAAAGTTAATGCACAAGTGCTGCATTAGTTAAGCAGGAATTAGTAAACAGTAAATAAAGCCTAGGGTTTAAGTTTGTTTTAAATAAGCCTTATAACAGAGAAAGTAATTTTATACATATTATTTATAAGTAGCTTCTATACCCTTTTAGTAGTACTTTTAGGCTAGTAACTAATAAGTCTTAGTAGCACTTAGGTGTGCTAAGGATACTTAGTTGTAGACTTTTTAGATAAGTTAGGTACATAGTAATAAGTCTGCTAGCACACATAAGTAGTTAGCATAAAGAAGTAGTCTATTTCCTATCTAATAATAGTAAAGTAGAAGTTTTTACTTTTACATAAAAAAAGCTTAATTCTTTTAAAGTAATATGTTAATTAATTTTAAAAAATCTAAAGACATAACCTAGTCTAGTTCTTCTATAATGTTTAGTATAGCTGCTTAAGTTATTGTTTAAGTAATATAGTACTAGGCTAGTTTAAAGTTAATTTAGAGGTGCAGTTAGTGTAGTTCTAGTAAAACTCTTAACTTATTATTAGTTTAAGCTGCTCTTAAATTTTCTACATCTTGTTTACAATAACTAAAAATGTCTGCCCTAGTGTTGTTTTTACTAAAGGTGTACTTAATTTAGAAGTAATACTAAGCTAACTTTTTAGCTTAATAAACTTAATAAGTATTTAGCACCTTTATTATTATAAAGTACTCTAATAAACAATAATTAGTATATACTAAAGTGCTTATTACTATAGATGTAAGCTTAGCCTTTTATTATTTAAACGCAGTAATAATTGTAAATAGCTTTTTGTTATGTATCTTCTAGTTTAGCTCTAAACTAGATAGGACCTTGCTATAGAATAATATAGAGCACTAATTTCTATCTGCTTATTGCTAAAAAAGAACTCCTACTACTACTTTATTAAAAGTGTTAGTTTTAATTTTAGTTTATAACATAAGGTTAAAATAGTAAAGCATAGGTATACTTAGTAGCGCAAACTTTAGCTTTTTAAAAGCTATGTTACACTCTAAAGTCTATATAAAAAAAGTAGTAAGGCTTTAAAGTGTAATAATTAGTTTTACTATATAAAAGAATTTTAAAACAAATTGCTAATAGAATCTAGTAAAGCTTAGAAAAGATTTCACACCTGTTATAGTAGTAAGCGCCTGCTAGTTATGTAGCACCTCTACTTTTTTTAGGTTAACCTCTAGTTCTTTGTTTAAAAGTATATAGCTAAGATACCTTATTTAAGTAACATAAAATTTACTTTTTTTAATCTCTACTTATAATCCTGCTTACTAAAGCCTTTTTAAAACTTTTTTAACATAGAGAATATAAGTTGCTTTATCTTTAGAGTAAATAAAAATATTATTAAGATAAGTAATATAGAAATTATCTAAATAGTTAATTAATACATTATTTATATAGCGCTAGTAAGTTACTAGACTATTACATAATCTAAAAGGCAAAACTTTACACTTATAGGTTTTATATTATGTCTAAAAGGTAGTACACTTTTTAAAGCTTAAATCTATTCTAATCTTATTAAAAGCTATGCAAATATTAAACTTAGTAAAAATTACTACCTTAGTAAGTCTTAACAAGAGTTTATTTATACATAGTATTAGATACACATTCTTATAGGTAAGAGTGTTAAGTTTATAGTAATTAACATAGATACATAAGTTACTATTTAGTTTCTATACATAAAAAATAGAAAATGTAAAAGGGCTTTAACTCTACTTAATAAAGCTATATTTTAAATTATTTATAACATATTTCTTTATTACCTCTAGCTTCTTAAAGTTCTGTTTGTATAACAGACTATAACTGTTAAGAAGAGGCTCTGTAAGAACAATCTTGTAGTTATATAGACAATGTACTAGTAGCTAGTAAGCTGCTGTGTAGCTAAATACATTTTAGTACTAATAGTATTTAGAGGGTAATTAGAGGTTTACTAATGCTTTAGTTTTATGTTTAGTGTTTAACTATAAGGCTTACTTATCTTTAATTAACTGCTTAATTTTATAAATAAAAGTTAAAAAAAACTAATTTTTTTTTATATTAAAATAAAAAGCATTTGCTAAAATTAAGGTAATAGTAGCTAAATAGACTTTCTTTAGACTTATTCTAGACTTCTTAATAAATAGGCAGAAGAACAATTTAAGTGTCTTTAGACTATAGATAATAGAAAATCTGTATAATTTTAGTAGCCTTAGCAAACTCTTAATGCAGTAAATTATTAAGCTGTATAACTACTAAAATTAGTTTTTTTCTTATAGTGTGTTGCATTATTTAATATCTAGCTTTACTTTTTTATTACACGCAGGCTAGGTTAATTGCATAAGTAAGAGTAGCAAAGGTTTATAAGTAGGCAGATATTTACTAGGCTATATAATCTAATTTTTTTTATATCTAAATAGAGTTTAAAATAACATAACTATTTAATACTAATAATGTAATTTTAGAAGCTAAGGTTTATAATAACAAAGAGGTAGTTTTAGATACTTTTTCTATTAATTTGCATATGCAGGCAGATATACTAGTAAATAGGGACTTAAATTTAATCTTAAAAGCCCTTAACTATAACTTTAAATAGTAAGTGTTAGATAGGGACATAAAGGCATTAAAATAATAACTTAGTAGTTAGTAAGTTAATAAATAAAAAACTATAAGCGCTAGTATTAACTAAAGAATTTAAATAGACTTTAATGCTTTTTAAATATAAAATAGTAGAGACTTAGAAGTGTTTTTCTCTAAATAAGTGTAATAAATTAATGTTTAATAGATTATACTTACTTAAGCCTAAAATAAAAGGTTTTTTTAGGTGTTACTATTTTCTATTTAAAAGGCATCTAAATTAAAATTATTTATATTTATAAATTCTTTTTTAGAATCTTACTACTCTACCTTTATTTTTTATACTCTAAGAATAAGGTAGTTGCTAGTAAAATGTTTTAGTTTTCTATAATTATAATAGTTACTAGAAGTTGTCTGTCTTTCTAGGGCAAGTGTTTAGCTAGATTGTCTATAAGTAATTAAGGTAAACTAGAGTACTAACAGAGGTGCAGGTTAGAGTGCACTAGAATAGTATACTGCCTTAGATGTATTACTAGAAACTTTCTAAGACTAATTTATACTAGGTCTAATAGTAGACTGTTAGGTAAGATTAATAGTTTACTTTAAAATAGTAAAAGTATTCTTTCTTTCTATGTTATAAGCTGTTAGGTAGGCTACTATAGTTTTAAAAAAGCTCTTTTAAGTGTACTTAAAACCTAAGTTTAGTACTCTTAAGCTAGGTAGTATTTTTTTTTATAAGTAAAAAAACTATTTTACTTTTAATATAAACTTTTTAATAGTAGCACTAATAAAGTAAGCTTTAAAAGTAAAGAACACTTTTTCTTTACTTATTTTTAAAGTTTAAAACACTTATTACGCCTTTATATCTTTATTACTAGTAATAAAGTAAGTTTATAAAAGCTTAATTATTTTTTTTATATTTTTAAACTAAAAGTAATCTAATTTAGCTAGGTATCTAGACTCTAGGTATTTCTTTGCGATACCAGCAGTGTGTCCCTATACTAGCGCTATGCGTGCACGCTTACTCTAATAGTAATCTACATTAATGTTAAGTCTATTTATAATAAAGACTTACTATTATTTAAATGTAGGTTCTTTACTATTTATAAAGTTCTTAATTTTAGGCGTGCGTTTAGTAAGGTAGCTTTAAAAAAGCTTAAAAGTGCCTAAAAGGTCTCTTGCTATTAGAGTAGTAAAAGTAATTTAAGGCATTATTATAAGTAATTTAGTAGTTAGTAAGAGTTAATTAGGACTAATAGTTTTTAATTTAGTTAGCTATTTAATTTATGCTTTTAATTAAGCAACTTAGTTTTTAAAAGCTATACTACTAGAGTTTAACTCTAAATTTAGTAAGTTTTTAGCTTTAAGTCCTATAAAAAAGAGTTTAGCTATTAAGGTTAGTAGTTATTTAGTTTTAAAAGTAAGCATCTTGCCTTAGCTGCAGCTAGAATAAGTTGTAGTCTTTATAATAAGATCTAATAGTAGTTAAAAGTTAAGCATTAGTAGTTATTCTTAATTTTAATAAGTTATTAGTAGTTTTTAAGTTTTTACTTTAGCGCACTTTTTATAACTTTTTTAAAAGTAATTTTAATTATAAGAGATAGAAAGTTCTAAACTTAAAAGCTTTAGTTAATAAAAAGTCTCTAAAATCTTATTTATACTAACTAAATAATTTAATGTAATAGTGTGTAAAAAATTATAACCTAAACTAAATTAGACACTTTTTAGAGTTAAATGTAGTTAAATAAATAATTAATGTAATATTATTAATAAAGCTGTTACTAGTAAAAGTAAGTTTTTGAATATAATGTAACAGCGCAGGCAAGACAATAGGTCTAAATGCAGTATAAATCCACTTAGAGGCATATAGGAGTGCGTAGGGACTTAGAGACCTAGGAATACTAATAACACCTATAGGCCTTGTACGTAGGATATTAGAAAACTACTGAGCTAGCTACAGGGGCAAGGTGCGACTAAATACATGAGGGAATAGGGGCAACTGCGGGGGACTAGGTCGAGTCATGGTTGGGGCCGATACGGGGACCCTTCGGATAGGATCCGAGCGACCCGAGATGGAACGATTCGTAGAATCGTTACATAATCTGAGCCGAAAAGTTAAAAAGTAGAGGTAAAGTGAACCGTTACGTTTACGAACAGTAATAGCTAACTCCTTCATAGTTAGAGTACGAACGTAGTAATAATTTGAGAAGTTACGAGCCTATTTTGTCCTATACGTTACGGTCTACGTTTGGTTGGACGCGTTGTATGAAGTGGATACTCCATGAACCAACAGAGAACAGGTTACTTCCAGCCATTCGCCTGCAAAGCCAGGAATTGACGCTGAGCAGCGGGAACTGTATTGCTCGACTCGCCACGCTCAATAGATAGCATTTCGACGACCCAGGCCCCTATGGTCTTGAGCAAGTAATCAATCTCAGCCCTCGTGTTATGCGCATGGAATACAAGTCGAATCAGGGCTGTTCCTCTGGGTACGGTCGGGTCTGAAGGGAGCGGTAGAAGGTCAGTATGGCTCTTCCGAGAGGGAAAAGAGACAGAGGTTGCAGAAAGCTCAAAAATGCCATGTAGATGCCAAACGAACAGGCAACCGAGTTGCATCTCACAAAAGAGAAGTGTGGGCATATTGTACCACTGGGTTACGTACAAGAGATGGGATACGCGTTGATGTTGGCGATTAGCAGATGTACGAACAGAGAGGACTCGTGCCCGGGGCGTACTTTGATGGGTATGACGTGCGACTGGACAGAGCGTTCCTCCCATTCTTCTGCGAGCGGAACGGATAAGAGGCCTTCATCCAAGGCCTCTTCCCAGTCAGGGTCTTCTAGTAGCGCCTGGAAAAAGTACTTCACATTGGCTTGGAGCTGGGCTTGCTCCTGGAATGAACCTACATGTTAGTCACAGGTTCATGAGACACTGGGGTAAAAAAAACGCACGTACATTTGCTGCCTGACCACTACCTAGCATCTGATAAGCAGCCCGAATAGAGGCGACCATGGGAACAGAAGGTGCGCCACTATATGTTAAACATCGGGAGAATTGGGTGAGAGCAGCGCGCACTGTCTTGTTGCAAAGGATCACGCCACCCGTCGAAGCCAAAGCTTTGCTGCACATGTGGACACGTATAGCAATGTCCTTCTCCAACCCGAGCACCTGAACCTGAAGGCAAAGAATTAGCTATCAGAGACGACCGGAGCAAAACTGCATGCGCACCAAACCGGCGCCATTCGGGCCTATGATCCCATTACTGTGGGCTTCATCAATGACAAACTGGGCATTTCCGGTCGGGAACATGTCTTTGGCAACCGCCACCATCTCTCTGAGCGGGCACATGTCGCCCTCCATGCTGTAGATGGACTCGACACAGATCAACACCGACCTGTCACCCCTTGCAAAAGCGGGGTCTTCGGTCTTGAGACGGGTCAGGACTTCGCGCAAAGCGTCTGGATTGTTGTGCTGGAACGGAAGCTTGTGCGCGGCCACGGTGACTCGAAGGCCAACGACGGTGCTTGCGTGGGACAGCTCATCCCACACAATTGCGTCGCCCGGCAGCGCCACGGCCTCGAGCACACTGATGTTGGCGAAGAAGCCTGAGTGGCATACCCAGGCCGTCTCGGCGCCATGGAACGCGGCTATCTCGGCCTCGACTTGTCGCAGATAGTCATAGTTGCCGTACTGGGTGCGGGATCCCGAGGCACTGAGACGCCAGTCGTTGCCCAGGCTGGCAAGCTCCTGCAGGAAGGCGTTGCGGATGCGGCCCGAGCGGCTGAGCGACAGAAAGTCGCTCGAGGTGAAGTCGATGACGCTGTCGTCCCAGCGCGGCTTGAGGATGGCGAGGTTGCCATTCTCACGGTGGACATCTAGAGCCTGCTCCAGCCGGCGGTAGAAGGCCGGCTCGCTCTGCTTCGTCGACGGGCGACGCAGCGCCTGGTGGGCTGCCCATTCTCGAAAGAGGTCCTTGTAGTACGCCATGGCTTGCAATGGCAATGCCCCGAGGAGTTCGCAGTCGCTTTTCACCATGCGGACAAGCCAATGCCAGGCGAGGTGTGGCTGACTGCGTGGACGGCTGGCTGACAGTGCGATGACCGCAATGGCTGACCACGCGCGACATAGATAGGAAGCCTGTGCGGAGTGAGGATATGGCTGGCAGCGAGGGGGGCGATCCCTGTGTAGAATTCTGAGAGACAGAAAGAAACGCCCAAAGTTAGCCTTCACGACACACAACCATGACTCCGTTTCTCACCGGCAATGCCAATCTCAATGGCACCCATGTTCACGGCACCGCTCTCCATGACCATGACACCCACAAGGATAATGGCTCCAACGGCCACGCCACCAAAGCCGAGCCTGTCTTCGAGCCCGTTGCCATCTGCGGCATGGCCTGCCGGCTCCCTGGAGGGGTCAGCTCCCCCGCAGCGCTGTGGGACCTGTTGATTGCCGGAGGCGACGGACGCTGCCGCGTGCCGCAGAGCCGCTACAACATCGCGGGCCACTACTCGGCGGCCAAGCGGCCGGGCACCGTGGACGTCGAATACGGCTACTTCCTCGACGAGTCGGTCGACCTGGCGGGCCTCGATACGTCCTTCACGGCGTTGGGCCGCGCCGAGCTCGAGCGTCTGGACCCGCAGCAGCGGCTGCTGCTCGAGGTGGTGCGCGAGGCGCTGCACGATGCGGGCACAACGGGCTGGGCCGGCACCAACACAGGCGTCTACATCGGGTCGTTTGGCGAGGACTGGCACGACATTCTGCGACGCGACGAGCTCCTCATGTCCAGCATCTACAGCCTCAGTGGCAGCCAGGACTACATGGCCTCGGCGCGCGTGGGCCACGAGCTGGACTTGCAAGGGCCCAACATGACCATCCGCACCGCGTGCTCGTCCTCGATGATTGCCCTCAACCAAGCCTGCGCCGCCATTGCCCGGGGCGACTGCGAGGGCGCCGTCGTGGGCGGCAGCAACCTGATTCTGGCGCCCACGCTGTTCGGTGCCATGGCGGGCCAGGGCGTGCTCAGCCCGGACGGCTCCTCGCGCAGCCTCTCGGCCGATGCGAACGGCTATGCGCGCGGCGAGGGCGTCGTGGCCGTCTATGTCAAGTCCCTGTCTGCAGCGCTCCGCGATGGCAACCCCGTCCGCTCTGTCATCGTGGGCTGTGCCGCAAACTCGGACGGGCGCACGCTGCCCGCCTCCATGCCCAGCGCCGCGGCACAGGCGACTCTCATCCGGCGCACCTACGCGCTGGCAGGCCTCCCCGACGTGGGCAAGACGGGGCTCTTCGAGTGCCATGCGACGGGCACTGCGACAGGCGACCCTATCGAGTGCGCCGCCATTGCCGAAGTATTTGGCCATGTCGGCGTCCACGTCGGCACCCTGAAGCCGAACCTGGGCCATGGGGAGGCGGCATCTGGGTTGACGGCGATACTCAAAGCCACGCTGGCCCTGGAACATGGTGTCATCCCGCCGAACATCAAGTACGCTCCCCTCAACCCACGCATCCCCTTTGAACGCGCACAGTTGCATATCCCCACTGAGCCAACGCCATGGCCACAGGGCCGCGACGAGCGTGTCAGCGTCAACTCGTTCGGCATCGGCGGCAGCAACGCCCATGCCATCCTCGAGTCCCCCGCACGCTTCCTGTCTCCCTCGCCCAAAGCGCCACCCCAGGACGAGCCTCAGCTGTTGCTGTTCTCCGCCAATACAGCTGGGGCGCTCAAGAATGTGTGCCGCGACTACCAGGCCCTGCTCGAGACACCGACGCATTCTGTTGCAGACATCGCCTACACGCTTGCCAACGGCCGCGAGCATCTTCCCTTTCGCTCCTTTGCAGTTGCCAGCACCACCAAGTTTGAGCAGGGTGTTTCCATGTCCACGTCCTCGAAGAAGGGCGCCGCCTTGAAGTCCAACGTCGTCCTGGTCTTCACCGGCCAGGGCGCCGCATGGCCGCAGATGGGGCGGGACTTGGTTCGCGCCAACCCCACCTTCGCCAGCACCATCGACTCGTTGGACGTCAGTCTGAAGCGGCTGGGCGCCGAATGGTCGCTGAAAGACGAACTGCTCAAGCCTGCACGTCACAGCCGCGTGAACGAGGCCGAGTTCTCGCAGCCGCTCTGCACAGCGCTCCAGCTGGCCCTCATCGATGCGCTGGCTGCTGTGGGCGTCAAACCTCGGGCGGTGGTTGGCCATTCAAGTGGCGAAATTGGAGCTGCGTATGCCGCAGGGGCTCTCAGTGCTGAAGAAGCCATTGCGGTGGCCTTCCACCGTGGAACCGCCACCAAGGGAAAGACAGAACGCGGCGCAATGGCTGCCGTGGGACTTGGCTGGGAAGAAACCCAGCAGTATCTCGTTCCCGGCGTCATCACGGCCTGCGACAACTCACCAAGTAGTGTGACGCTTTCGGGCGATGTCGACAAGCTAACCGACGTTGTAGCCAGCATCAAACAAGCTCAACCGGACGTGCTAGCTACCGTGCTCAAGGTAGAGAAGGCCTACCACTCACATCACATGCTGGCCATCGGAGAGATGTATCATCAAGCACTAGTCGACGCCAAAGTTGTGAGCAGGCCCCCGACTATCCCATTCTTCTCCAGTGTGACAGGTGAACTGCTTGGAGACAACAAAAGCAACCAGTTGGGTCCCAAGTACTGGCAATACAATCTTGAGCGTCCAGTTCTCTTCAAAGCTGCTGTGCAAGCCATCCTGAAGTCCTCAGCCGTGAAGGACCCGGTCTTTGTCGAGCTCGGCCCGCATTCAGCCCTCGCCGGCCCAGTGCGACAGATCCTGACGGCTGCTTCGAGCAATGCTGCGTACGTAGCATCTCTGGTACGCCGACAGAATAGCGCAGAGAACTTCCTGCAGGTCATCGGGAAGCTCTACACGCTACATATTTCCCTGAACTTCAGAGCTCTTCTCACCACCCCTGCTTCACTCGTTGCTGGCTTGCCACGTTATCCGTGGGATCACTCTCAAGATTTCTTGTACAAATCTCGTGTTTCAAAGGAATGGTTAGACAGGAAACACGTCCACCACCCGTTGTTAGGCTCAAAGGTACCCGCGAGCACGGACTTAGAGCCTATGTGGCGGAATCTCCTCTCTCCCAAAACAACGCCCTGGATTGCCCATCATAAGCTCTCTGGATCTATTGTCTTCCCACTTGCTGGATTTGTCTCTATTGCTGCCGAGGCTGGGCGCCAAATGAGTGGCGTCGACGACGGAGTGAGTGTTCGAAATCTCATAGTGCACAACGCTTTGGTGATCGATGCCGAGTTCCCTACAGAAGTCATCACCTGTTTGCGTAGTGAACGCTTGACCGACACTCTGACCAGCGCATGGTGGGAATTTACCATATCTTCGTACAATGGGCATATATGGACGAAGCACACTACGGGCAATGTTCGAGGCGAAACATTCGACAGTCAGTTGGCATACCGCGAGGTATTACCGGAGCTACCGAGGAAAGTCGACAGCGACAAGTTGTATGAAGCAAAACGACGGGACGGCCTTGATTATGGCCCCTCCTTCAACACCTTGGAAGAGATCAGGACAGCAACGACGTCCATGACAGGTACAGCCAAAATGCGAAACAATCAATGGGGAGATGAGGGCTTCTACCATTTGCATCCTGTCGTCCTCGACACGTACTTTCAATTAACGAGCTGTTCAGTCTTTAACGGCATCAGCCGGGACTACCGGCGACTGGTAGCGGCGAAGATCGAGCGTATGACAGTTTTCCGCTGCGCCCAGGATGAGCTCCACATCTTCACCACAGCCGAGCCTTCCGAAGAAGGCTTTGTCGGGGACGGCTGGGTAATTGCAGGCCAAAAAAGGGTCTTGAATATCTCCAGATCACATGGACACTTTTTCGACGAGAGTGTGGCGAGCGACCAGGGCGCAACCTCTATCGCCGCTCGGAGCGAATGGATTCCTCATATTGATTTCCAGACCAACAACGTGCTCATAAATGATCCCCTCAGCCATGAAGAATGCATTCCACTCCTGGATAACCTCGCGCGACTGGCCATTTCTCTGGCGAGTAGGGCTGCTGAAAGCGTCAGCGTACAAGTGCCACACTTAGCTGAGTACAAAGAGTGGCTCCTTCAGCATACGCCGTCGAATCTTGGAGGGTCGGACACAGCTACACTGGCACGGGAAATTGAAGCTCTGGTTCGGAACCTTCAGGCTACCCCCGCCGCATGCGTGGCATCAACTATTGCCGCCACCTCTAACTCCATTGAATCTGTGTTGAAAGGAGAGGTCGTACCCGACAATGACAGTTTGATGGAGTTCCTACAAGAACATTACGACAGTAATTACCTTCGCTGCATCGCCCACACCAAGCCGAACGTCAGAGTCCTCAATATAGGTGCGGGGCTTAGAGATGTGACGTCAAGGCTTGTCAGTTGCTTTACGCGTTCCGATGGACAACCTCTGTACTCGCGGCTTGTTTTTGCGTCCTCTAGCAAGTCTAACGCGATCAGAGAAGAGCTGAAATCCGTCCCCAACACGGAATTCTCTGTCTTGGATGTGAATGGAAACCTCGCGGAGCAGGGCTTTAGCGATCAACAATTTGACCTCATCATTGTCAAAAATGTGATCAGCGACTGCGACGATATTCAAGCAAGCTTGAAGAACGTTCGTCAATTGCTGCGACCCAACGGTAGGTTGCTTTTACAGGAACCTCGACCGGGACTGTTGTGGGCCAAATTCGTCTTGGGCACAATGCTAGGCTGGTGGTCTCACGCAGGGAATCTGAACCGTATCGCCGACCCTTTCATCAGCGCAGAAGAATGGCAGAAGGAACTCACAGCCGCCGGCTTTTCTGACGTCGACCATGTGGAGCCAAGCTCGGAACACTGGACGAATAATGTTTTAGTTGCACGTCCACAGGCCCCCAAGGCGCCAATCAAGAGAATGACGCTCCTAGTGATCGATGGCAATGTATCTTCGTCGAATCTCCTTACGAGCGAGCTCAAGGCTCGGGGCTGTGGGATTGACCAACGTTCGCTGGGTCAAACACTGCCACAGGGCCAGGACATTATTGCACTTCTCGAGGAGGAGGAACCGTTCTTCGAGGAAATCGACGCAATTAGGCTTACCCAGTTCCAACTAATGCTTCGCGGGCTTGGGAATGACGGCCTGTTGTGGGTGACGCGACACTCCAGTGTTGGCTGCACCGACCCGAGGTTCGCCCAAGTTGTTGGTTTAGCGAGAACGCTCCGTTCCGAAATGGCCATTGACTTTGCAGTTTTGGAGATAGACAAGGTGGCATCTCCGACAGGTGCAAGTGCGGTAGCTGACGTGCTAAGCAAGTTTCAAGCGAGAGGAGACGATGGTGTTCTAGGACCTGATCTTGAATACGCAATCTACAAGGGCCAGACGCTCGTCAACCGTATCTTCCCCTTCCCTGTTAAAGCGGAACTGTCTGTGCCGCAGGAATCGAACGAGGCTGTTGTGACCCAGCAGCATCTTGGCCTTCTCAACTCGCTGACCTGGTCAGTCACATCTCCTGCTCCTCCAGAGGATGGGGAGGTTGAGGTCGAGATCTATGCCACTGGGCTAAACTTCAGAGACGTCTTGGTGGGCATGCAAATTATCCCCGGGCGCCACCCCGTGTTTGGTTACGAGGCTTCCGGAGTCGTCCGCCGGGTAGGACCGAATGCAACTAGATTCGCCGTCGGCGATCGTGTCGTGACTCTAGCTGGCAAGTTGCTCTCCACGGCGAGGGTAATCCCAGAAATTTACCTCGAGAAGCTGCCAGATCATATCAGTTTTGTCGAGGGTGCCTGCATTCCCCTCGTCTTTGTCACTGCCATTTACGGTCTTCGCGATATTGGAAGACTCTCCAAGGGCCAGTCAGTCTTGATTCACAGCGGTGCGGGTGGGGTTGGGCTTGCTGCCATGCAGGTAGCCCGCATGCTTGGCATTGAGATATTCACCACCGCAGGCAGCGAGAGGAAGGCACGGTACTTGATGGACACGTTTGGGATTCCAAGAAACCGCATATTCAACTCAAGAGACTCTTCCTTTGTCGAGGACGTACTCCGCGAGACTGGTGGAAGGGGCGTTGACGTGGTGCTCAACTCGCTTGCTGGAGAGCTGCTCCACGCATCTTGGAAGTGCGTTGCAAAATGGGGTACCATGGTGGAGATCGGGAAGCGCGACCTTTTGGGGAATGGACGACTTGACATGGGCCCTTTCCTGGCGAACCGAAATTATTGCTGCTTCGACATTGTTATGATGATACAAGAACGACCTGAGCTTCTCAGCCAGCTGCTCAAGTTCACCATGGACTGTTTTTCTCAAGCTCGCCTCAAGCCGATTCGCGTAGATCAAGTGTTCGCAGCGTCCAGAGTGCTTGACGCATTCCGGTACATGCAGCAAGGCAAACACATTGGCAAAATCGTACTCGAGATCCGCGACTCCGCAGGAAAGCGCTTGCTCGAGGATATTGATACTACCGAGAAGATAGGCGCTGGGCTCGATGGAACGGGGTCGTATCTCCTCGTTGGTGGTCTCGGTGGGCTAGGTCGCTCCATGTCGGTGTGGATGGCACAGCAGGGAGCGCGAAACTTCACCTTCTTATCTCGGAGTGCAGGCAGTGGCACACACGATTCTGACCTACGCGTCGAGCTTGAGAGCATGGGATGCAATGTCCAGCTTGTGCGCGGAGACGTGACCAATCCCAATGACGTTGCCGGTGCTGTTGACGGGACGGTCGCACCACTGCGGGGAATAGTCCAGATGTCCATGATTCTCCGCGACCAGATGTTTGACGGGATGAGCATCGAGGACTGGAACGCAGTCACGCAGCCCAAGGTCCAAGGTACCTGGAATCTCCACAATGCCACGATAGCGAGCGGGTGCGAGTTGGACTTCTTCCTTTTGTTCAGCTCGTTATCAGGCATAGTTGGCCAGGTCGGACAGGCTAACTACGCCAGCGCCAACACATTCCTGGACGCATTTGCGCAGTATCGCGCCAGCCTGAACCTTCCCTGCACGGCCATCGATCTTGGAGCTATGGAGGATGTAGGCTACCTGTCCGACAACCGAGACCTCCTCAAGAAGATGCAGGGTACCGGCTGGAGAGTTGTTCGGGAAACCGAACTCCTCGAAGCTCTGCCTCTCGCCTTCATGTCTCCAGCCACGCGCAGCCGGCGCAAGCAAGACACAAAAACCGGCGACACTTTCTTACTCGGCCTCGCGCCAACGGTCCCTTTGAGCAGCCCAGGAATTAGCTCTAGGCTGAAGCGAGACGTCCGCCTCGCCGTTTACCACAACATGGGTAGTGGAAGCACCAAGGTCACCAGCTCTGCACCCGATTCGTTGAACGCTTTCCTCGCAGCCGTCAAGAAGGATCCAAGCCGATTGAAATCCACCGAGAGCGTAGAGCTGCTTGCACTTGAGGTTGGAAAGAAGCTGTGCAGTCTGGTCCTCACCGAAGATGCTGATTTCGACATGTCCTCGAATGTGACTGATCTTGGCTTGGACTCTTTGGTAGTGGTTGAGATGCGGGGCTGGTGGAAGCTGATGTTTGGGTTCGACATTAGCACTCTGGAAATGTTGGGCTTAGAGACGCTCGGGGCGATGGGCAAGCGTATCGTCGATGATCTCATTGCAAAGTACGACGCCTAGGGTATTGGTAACGCCTTTTAATGCGGCTTGAATTTATTCCAATGATAGTATCTGACGAGCCTTCATATCTCTAAATTGCAGTACATATGTTGTCGTGCGAAACATCTTCCATGCGAATCCTTGTGTTCGTTGCTATGGCCTCACACTCAGAGTTTTGGTCAAAAGCCACGCTCTGAAGAGAAGCAGTGTCGATAAAATTATTGTCCAGCTACCACTAATATGACTACATCTACACGGACTCAGGTCCAATCCGCCATTGTTGTGAGAGCAGACTTGAGATTGCCATTGAAATGGATGGACTAACTAAAAGAGTCCCTGCGGGTAGGGTGCTTGCTCCCTCTTCCCCCGAGCATAAGAAAAGCGCGCCTTCGCGTCCTATCTTTAGTGATCGCGAATCCGGATGTCAACGTTCAGATCTGAATCCGGGAAGCAATTGTTTTCTCGTGTCTGGTACATGTGCCAGAGTAACGCGCTGTGCATTGCAGAGAGACTTTGTAGTCTCCGAGCTGTTACAAAGTCGGAACCGCCCTCTTCAATTCAGTGATAATCTCGTTCCAGACCAATGCTTTCACCTTGAGTGCATTGCCGCTCTTCAAGTTGGAGAATGCAGCGATGCGGTATTCGTCTTCCCCAAAAAGGGATTGGATGTATTTACCCTTGGGGACGGATCTCAGCTTCTGCGAAGAAGGGGAATACACCATTCGCGCAACGTAGGGCAACTTACATGATCAGTTGTTGACGTGCATGCCGCTGTAACATAGAATCTTGCACCATAGTCCGCTGACTTGCCTAGAATCGAGCAATAGATGGGCACTGCGAATCGCATGAATATAGACCTTTCCGCGATAGCACGTCCAATGCTGGTAAAAACGAGTCCTGGGCAGACAGGGTTGACAATAACGTCCATGCTGCTTTATGATCAGCACAGGATTCTCGTCTGTCGGCCCAAAAAAATATCATTTCTTACCTACCATCTGCTCCCATTGCCATGTTGCAAATTTCTTCGACGGCATATGTCACCAGTAGCTTGCTAATGGCATAGTTTGGCTCTATTTGGTGGGAGGGCCAGTTTTTTTGGTCACTGCAATGTCGCAATATACCGTCGTCAGCGGCCCATCGGGGCCAATCATGGATGTCGGGATCGATATGATCACGGGAGGTTACAAAGACCAGATGGGGTTTTCTGGACGCATCAGGGCGATGCTCTTTCATCCACCGCAGCAGAAGCAGCCCCAGGAGCGTCGTGCTCAGAGTGTTGACCTGGATCGTTTGTTCCCTATCGTGACAGATAAGTGAGCAAACCATGTAGAGTCATTTTTTGGACTTCGACTAACCATCCTTCCGGACTTTGTACATATTCTGCATTGATAATACCGGCGTTCAAGACAGCAACATCGAGTCCACCGCGCGTTGCCGGGGACGCTTTCAAATGATCGACCAAGGCCAGGCACGAAGAGTATCGGTTCATATCGAGTTCCAGGACGTGTATTTTGCCTTGGCCGACAATGTTTGCGCGCTTTTCCACAGCGTCTCTAGCAGCATTACCGCGCGTCAAACTCTTTGATGTGACGATGACATTTGCACCGAGTGTTGCGAAATGCAGCGCTGCAGCTAGACCAAGACCGCTAGTGGCGCCGGTGACGAGAACTGTCTTGCCTTCGAATGACTTGTCAGGGGGCAGAGGCTCGGGCCAAAATTTGTCCCGTAAGCGCCGAAGGATGAGGGGGCTCATAGGTGCGTATTGGAAGACGAGCAAAGAAGATTAGGAAAGAGCTTGGCGTGCTGGAAATTGTTACAGGTGATTTTCCCAGCGCCGGACTTTGTGTAGACGCTGATGGTCAAGGTCAACATGCACGGTCAGCCACATAGACTAACCAGGATAGGTAACCCATGCCATATGCGAGGTCAGACAGCATGAAACGTCACGCATCATATACCTAAAGGGGACTCAACGAACGGTAAGTACAGAAAGTACCGAAAATATTTGGAACAAAGACTGCAGTAATGAGGACAGAAGACTTCATTTCCGAAATCTTCCTTATCACACCTCGCGAACGCGAACACGTTCCCACAAGGATCAGCTGTCGCTGGAGATATCACGGAGATGGGCAATATTTCGACACTCTGGACCTGCGCCTCCGAATCCTTCACACAGATCAAGACGGTCCCTTTGACGATGCTACTGGAACTCCCCTCGGCACGCTGTTCCGCGGCATCCGGGATAAGATGCAGGGATCCGAGCTAGCACAATCGACAGAGTTAGCGACCACAGTGATACTGGTCCCACGTGACCGCGACGGCTTTGTGTGCAGGAGCGACTTCCTACATCTCCGGGCGGGACAATCGCGGTTTGTCGAGCGTGTCATCGCCTTCGCAGGATGGGAGAAGCACCTTGCGTCTCTGCCTACCGGCACTGATGCCATGAAGCGACTGCTGGCGCTGCTGCCAAGCTCTCCCGGCGCTCTTCTCCTAAGGCAGGCACCGAATGAAACGATGCTAGATGATCTCGCAGCACGACTGTCATTCAACTGGCTGCTGCCTACAAAGCCCGCCGCTCGCCGCGTAGCAGTGGTCTCCGGACGCCCGTTCCCAGATCGAAAGCGCCAAATGTACAACGCCCAGGGCTACTTCGCCGCGGCCCGCGCCCTCGGCATTTCGCTCGTGGTCGTGGATCATCCAGGGCACTGGCTCGAAAACAGTTCTTATCAGGATCTTCGAGAAGAGTTTGTCCCCATGGACATGGATATCAATCGCTTGGCTGATCTGCCACAGCGACTGGTGGCGGCCCTGAAAGACAAGCGCCTTGACGGCATCGTGACCTTCTGGGATGCGTACGTTATACAGACGGCCGAAGCTGCAGAGCTCCTTGGGTTACCCACAGAATCGTCCCTGGCGTTGCGGCAGGCGCACCTCAAGCACGAGATGCGCAAGCTTGTCAGCCAGCCCAACATCCAGGCAGTGACCATTCGTAGCGCGGAGCAGCTGAATGATTCTTGCATGGCGGAGACGCTTCGCAGCCTGCGGTACCCCTTGGTCGTGAAGCCATGTCGCGGCGGGACATCTGAGAGCGTGAAGAAGGCGACGAATGAAAGCAGTATGCGAGAGGCTGTACGCATGGCCTTCAGAGACGGTTTTTTCAATCCCGCCATTCCCCTCGTCATGCTCGAGACGTATGTTGAAGGCCCCGAGATCGACGCCAACTTCATGCTCTGGGACGGCAAGATCCAGTTCCTCGAGGTGACAGACAACTTTCCGTGCGCGGCTGATGCGCTTGGTGCCACGGTTACCGACCCCTTCCGCGAGACGGTACAGGTATCAAATACTCGACTGCCCCAAGTCGAGGTCGATGTCATTCGCTCCTCTCTGCACCGCAGCATCCTGAAGCTGGGCTTTCGCTCTGGCGTCTTCCATCTTGAAGCCCGCATGCGGAATTCGTCCATGAAGTACCAAGACACTCGTAATGATGGGATAATAGACTTGGATCCGGATCCCGGCATCACAGCCAACCCTCGCGTCAAGGCGGATGTGTTCCTCATCGAAATGAACGTCCGTCCGCCTGGCACGGGTGGTACGTGGGCGACGTTGTTCGCCTACGGCGTTGACCAAGGTGCCCTACATTTTCTGCGCGGCATTGACGATGGCGAGCGCTTTGCGGCTCTGTCGCAGCCTTATGCTTTCCCTAGTGGTAGTCCTGGGGATGGCGGCGGTGCTCAGTACTGGTCTGCGCAATGCATGGTTCCCATCCATCGCGACAACATTCGTGTTCCTGACGACTTGTGGGAGAGAGTTTATCAAGCACTGCCTGAGGTGGAGCCGTATGTAAGTCGGGCCGAGATGTATGCAGAGCCAGGCACGATTGTGTCTACCAACAGAGGTGTGGGGTGGATTGGTTATGTGTTGCTTTTCTCGCGGAAGAGCAGGAGACACCTGCTGGAGATATACCATCAACTCTCAAAGACTTGTATCAAGGTATTAGATGAAGGGCTACAGTGTTCGTAATGTGGTCTGTGAGGGGGGCGAACCTCAACCATACTGAGAGAGTAATCAATTGTAACGTTACAGGGCTTCTAATACAACTCATGAATCTTAAGTTCTCGCTCATAAGCTCGATCAGACTCAAACCTGGACAATTTTTTTTAAATTACTATGTAAAACAGATGATTCTGTTGTGATAGATTGAACTCGCAAGCAATTCCCTATCAGGCATGTCTTGGCTGGCTGACACCACTTTATCTGCCAGGGGTCGGAGCGATGTTTGCCCGCTGGATGCCTCACTGTTATCTGTAGACTTACCTCGCCGCTCCTCTTTCGTGCGTTCTTCGCAACGTCGTCGCCCACCATGCCGTTTAACACGGAGAGAAACGTCTTGCTACCGCTAAACGGGACGCGGTTCGACTTCAACCTCCAGTTTGAGCAGTTGTTCTTCTCTATCGTGCCTACGACCATTTTCATCGTCGCGTCGTTATGGCGCACACTTTCTCAGGCACGCAAGCCGAAAGTCGTGCACGCACCAAAATTCCAGTATATCAAATTGGTATGTACGGCTCTTTATACTCAATCGGCATGCTCATCAATCGTGCAGGGTGCATTATCCGTGTATCTCTGCCTGGAGCTCGCCCTTGTCATTCTAGTAGCGAGCAGACACGTGCATGCGTCTAGCATATTCATTGCGGCCGTCGTTCTTAGACTGGTAGCAGTACTCCCCATGATGGCACTGAGTGCGGTTGAGCACAGCAGGAACCCGCGGCCATCGACGCTGCTAACCGCCTATCTGTGTTTAACTCTACTCCTGGATGCGGCACAGGCGAGAACACTGTTCTCATCTTCGGCCTCCCCCTTGGAGCGCGTCTACAGCCGCACCTTCTGCGCTGCTGTGGCTCTGAAGGCGGTCATTCTGGTGTTGGAAGCCCGACAAAAATCCAGCTGGGTGCACTGGACCAACGACGAAAAAGAACACAGTCCAGAGGAGACCAGCGGCATCTTCTCTCTCGGCGTTTTCTTCTGGCTGAATAAGTTATTTCTTGCGGGTTACCGAACTATTCTGACCATCGACACACTCTTTCCGCTCGATAGCTCCCTTGACGCCGAAGCCCTGCACGCCAAGTTCTCTCGAAAAATGAATTATACCAAACTCAAGGGCGATAGGTTTGGCCTCGCCAAAGTCCTTGTGAGCACCCTGAAGGTTCCTCTACTGCTTCCTGTTTTCCCGCGCCTGGCGCTCCTGGGCTTCACGTTCTCGCAACCTTTCTTTATCGAGACCTTGTTGGACTATCTCGCAGAGCCTACACATGACCCGAATATAGGATATGGCCTGATCGGTGCCAGCTTTCTGATATACTCGGGCATCGCTACTTCCTTGGCCTTCACTTGGTACTTCCACCACCGCCTACGCATCATGGTACGATCGATATTGGTCCCCGAAGTCTTCATCAAGGCTACGAAAGTGCGCGTCGGAGCAGCGGATGGCGGCGCCGCGCTGACTCTAATGAGCACGGACGTGGAGCGCATTCGGATGGGCTTCAGGACTCTGCACGAGCTGTGGGCGTGTTTGGTCCAGGTAGCGCTAGCTGCATGGATGCTATACCAGCGTTTAGGCGTTGTATTTGTCGCGGCAATCGGTCTGGTAGTGGTCTGCTTCGCCTGCCTCGGTGTTTTGATCAACTTCACTGGGGATTCGCAGAGAGCATGGATGGCCGGCGTGCAGACGCGTGTCGGTCTGACGGCCACCGTCATTGCCAGTATGAAGAATTTGAAGATATCAGGGCTTTCTGCTACCGTGGGCGACTTTGTACAAAAGTTCCGTATCGACGAGCTTGCAGCCGGAGCCCGATACCGCCGCATTTGGATCACTGCTGCGCTATTCGGTTTTATCCCGCTGTTAATGGCCCCACCCCTAGTTTTTGCTTTCGCACAGCGAACACTCGATACTTCAAGCGTGTTTACCAGTCTTTCTTTCTTGACGCTGATGACAGTCCCGCTGTCGCAAATCTTCCAGGCCGTCCCTGAGATCGTTTCCGGCTTCGCCTGTCTCAGCCGCATTCAGGCCTTCTTGGAGTGCGAGACGCGCCAAGATGTTCGACAGGTTCTTGTTGACGCGGAAGATCTGCCTGAGGTAGAGCTGGCCGTCAAGGACGCCAAGTTCGGCTGGGAAGCGGACAAATTCGTCTTGCGGAATGTGAACTTCTCAGTGGCTCGACATTCACTCACCTTAGTTGTGGGGCCTGTTGGCTCGGGAAAGTCAACCCTCTGCAGAGCGCTGTTGGGTGAGATGCCCTTTAGCGAGGGATTTGTGATGGTGAGGACCCATCATAGCCATGTTGGCTACTGCGACCAGACCGCATTCCTTTTCAACGGTTCGGTGAGAGACAACATCGTTGCCTTTTCAGCTTTCGATCCAGCGAGATACGCCGAAGTCATCAGAGCGACTGCTCTCAGCTATGATTTTACCATGCTTCCCCAAGGGGACGGCACCAATGTCGGGTCTGACGGAATCACACTGTCCGGTGGCCAGAAGCAACGCGTTTCGCTTGCCCGAGCTTTATACCTACAGGCCGATCTGCTCGTGCTAGACGATGTGTTTAGCGGCCTGGATGCCGAAACCGAGGAGCACGTCTTTGACCAAGTTTTTGGACCACAGGGACTGTTGCGAAGACGGGGAACCACCGTTGTGTTGTGCACCCATAGCGTGCGGCACTTGCCCTCTGCCCATCACATCATCGTACTCGGAGACGGAACCATTGTCGCACAAGGTAGCTTCGACCAGCTAAGGCATAGTCAAGGGTTTCATCAATACGCTTCATCACAAAAGTCAACACCCGCAACATCCACGGAGCCGCAGCTGGACCCACGACCGCATCTTCCTCCGACGGGAATAACAGGCAAGGCATCGCCGGCGCCGATCACAGACGGCGCGCGGCAAGTCGGAGATCGAATGGTATACAAACATTACATCAAAAGCATGGGTTTGTCTCTGGCAGTGTGCTGCGCCTTGTTCGATTCGCTCTGGGGAACTCTTACCAACTTCCCAACCGTCTGGCTTACATTCTGGACTGACGGAATGAAGTCGGCTTACCGAGAGCACTCGGACTTCTACTACATCGGCATCTATGGTTTGCTTCAGGCCTGCGCCGCTATAGCACTGCTGCTCCTGGGCATCGCCATATTCATCACGTCGGTGAAGAGAGCTGGCGCCAACATACACCGCGAGGCCTTGGATACCCTTATCCGGGCACCACTTGCCTTCTTCACCAAGACGGATACTGGTATCGTCACAAATTTATTTTCGCAAGATCTGAACCTCATCGATACCGAGCTGCCGGAAGCAACCCTCTTTACGCTGGTGACGCTCGCTCAAGCGGTCGGACAGATGGCTGTCATGCTTACTTCGTCAGCATACCTCGCGATAAGCTATCCATTCCTCGGTGCGATGCTATATGTCGTGCAAAGATTCTATCTGCGCACATCCAGACAGATACGGCTGCTCGACCTTGAGGCCAAGAGTCCCCTGTACACGCACTTTCTAGACACGGTCAAAGGCGTCACGACCCTCCGAGCCTTCGGGTTCCTACCCGACGATGTTCAAAAGAATCTTCGCCTAATCGGATCCAGCCAACGACCTGCTTATATGCTGCTCATTATACAAGAGTGGTTGAATTTAGTGCTCAACGTTGTAGTTATGATAATGGCAGTCATATTGACGACACTTGCCGTCCGCCTTCACTCCAAGTCTGGTTTCGCCGGCGCTTCTCTTTACAGCCTCCTGACACTTGGGGAAAATCTCTCAGGCATTGTCATCTACTGGACTAAACTGGAGACGTCTTTAGGGGCAATAGCTCGACTCAAAGCTTTTGGCGAAAACGTCATACATGAAGACACAGACGAGGAGGACATCGTTCCCTCGGAACAATGGCCTCGTAGTGGCGTCGTAGCATTGAAAGGTGTCTCAGCAAGCTATGAAGAGCAGGGCGAAGGCGAGAGTTCGCCTAGACTCGCCCTTCGGGACATCCACCTCACTATTGCTTCAGGTGAGAGAGTGGCTATCTGCGGACGTACCGGAAGCGGCAAATCCAGCCTCATCGCTCTTCTTCTCAAGCTCATCAACCCTCTCCCGGAGACCGCAGACAACGCGACAATTGATGACACGCCGCTCCGTCGCCTCAATAGGCTCGCGCTACGTCAGCGCATCATTGCCGTACCACAGGAAGCCGTCTTCTTACCCGATGGGTGCACGTTCCGGACAAATGTGGATCCATCAGGTGTTTCAACGGCGGCGGAATGCGAAGACGTACTGGCAACGGTCGGCTTGTGGGATTTTGTCGTAGAGCGCGGTGGTTTGGATTCTGGCATGAGCGCGGGGACTCTGAGTGCCGGGCAGCGGCAACTAATATCAGTCGGACGCGCATTGCTTAGACAACGTGTCCGAGCGCGGCAGCAAGTATACGGAGGGATACTGTTACTGGATGAAGTCAGCTCGAGTGTGGACGCCGATACGGAACGCGTGATGCAGGAGATCATAAGGAGCGAATATAGGGGATATACTGTGATAGCTGTGAGCCATCGGCTAGACATGATCATGGATTTCGACAGAGTGGTGGTCATGGATGCAGGCGAGATTGTGGAGATAGGAAACCCTGTCGAGCTAGCTGAAGAGGTTGGAACTAGATTCGGGGATCTGGTTAGGGCAGCGAAGGATGATAAGTGATGCTGCATAACCTGTGTGAGACAGATTTGTCTAGAGGCAGAAGAGAAAAGCGCAGGCTGAGGGGTTAAGATCCAATTGGGGCGACTCGGGCTGTGAACGACTGCGGTGAAAGGGTATTAGTGGAGGCTGGGCCCCTTGAGTGTATTATGAGCTCTCCGAGCTTCTTCCACCCTTCAATCAATTCTCTTCCTTTTGCAAACTACTTACTGTTTTGCTAATTCACGCAGGCCTCATTTCCACACTCTATCACGCCAGACCTCTCAGAGCCTCGCGCACAAAATCTATCCTATAGGACTGCCAGATAATAACCTTAATCTTTTGCCTCTTCTGCCTCTTCGCTCTGTGAGGCAACCTCCTTCCCTCCTTTCTCCCTAGACAAATCTGTCTTACACCAGGTTACGCGGTACATACTTCATCAGATCATTACGTAAAGCCTGGTTGATCTTGACAGTTGGAAGCTCTCGCACTTCCACGAATGATTATATTACTATTCAACTATCTCAGCAAATGGCCTACCAGTGTCTCGGGCGTGGAATGGACAAGCCGGTCCAACAACCGCCCAGGCACGTGTGATACAGCTTTCGCCCAGTCCATATCAACGCGTTGAGCCTGGACTTCAAACACAGTTCTGATGGATCCGTTGGCATCCGGAAATAAATACCAGTCAATGAGGTAGTTGTGCCCTTGATGGTCGCGGTAGCTCCAATTAGGGGAGAGCTGTGGCGCGTCGAGAAAGCACAATACGTTGGTCGTGTTGGTGCGTGGGTCTGCCATAAGCGATTCGGGTAGTCCATGTGTGAGGCCGTCGACCTCGATGAGATCCAAAGTCGTCTTGTGCACGTCAGCGAGCCATTCGTGCACCTTGGCTTTTGGTGCAACATGAGTATAGAAGATGCCCCTATTGACCAGCGACCCCAGCACGTATTGCGCCTCCGGCCACGGCACAGTTCTCCCAGAGAGGCTAACGGAAAAGCCCACACGGTCCCACGTGGTTATGCTGCTCAGGAAGAGGGACCAAGCTGCGTAGACAAGTGTAGTCGCCGTGACACGATGGCTGCGCGCCGCCTGATCAAGCGCGGCCTTGGTCACAGTGACCGGCGAGTCGAGATTGACCAAACCAAGCTGCGTGTTCTGTGCGTGCTGTGCACTCGGGCAGGGAGGCTGCAGCACGGCCGTCACTGGCAGGTTCTCGAGCATCTTCTCGAACATGATGCGTGCTCGGGCCAAATTGTCTCGTTTATATGCACGCGTGAAGCGCGCAAAGTCTTGTATCCGTGGCCCTCGTGGGACTTCCTGGCCCGCCAACGCGCACTCTACGTCCTTCCAGAACAGAGCAGTCGAAAAGACATCGGTCAAGATATGATGCATTCGTGTCACCAGAGCCAATCCCTTGCGTCCGGGGACAGAAACACAGGTGACCTGGCAGTATGGAATCTCGACGTCCGCGCGTGTCGTCTCTCTCAACTCGTCCCAAGCCTGTTGCTCACACGCCGCACAAGCGGCCTCGAATTCGGCGGCGCTGGGGACGCTCACTTCGCGCCAGTCGAGGTTCAGTCGCCCGAGGTCGTGCAGTGTCAGATTGCACAGATCGAAGCGCGTCTGGAAGATTTGGTGTGCTGAGCCTGCAGTGACGATAGCCTCATGGAGCTCACTCGCGCTTGGCATGGCTTGGGCATCTCCAATATATGTGGCAACGCCGATGAGCGCACAGATTGTTTGATTTTGTAATGAGCGCCGGATCAAGAGCTTCTGCACGTCAGTGGCTGGTGCGGGCCCATCATCAAGATCGTCTTTGCTGCTCTCTTGATGAGCTTTGTTCTGGCGTATCGCTTCCTCCAGTCGTCCGATCAAGTCCAGCCGCAGCATCTGCGCCGCGACGAGCGAGTGCCCGTGCTCCCTCAAAAAGTTGGAAAGGCGAATGGCTGCCAGTGAGTGCCCTCCCAGTGCCGTAAATGAGGAGTCCCTGTTCAGCTGCTTGAATGGAACGTGTAGAATCTGGGCAAAGCCTATGCGCAAGGCATCGTATTCATTCTCGTAGCGGCCATCATTGTCTGGATTATCCTTCTCCTGTTGGTTGGCATTGCATTCGAGCTGGGACATAAGTTCATGTCGATCTGTTTTGCCATTATGGTTCAGCGGAAAACTGTCCAGGGCGACCAAGTTGTCGGGGATGATGAAGGGATCACAGTGTCCTCGCAAAAACTTGCGTAGCTGATTTACGTCCACACTGGCAGGTTGAACGCAGCCCGTGAGTCGTCCGTTTTGCGCCTTAAAAGCTACAGCCACCCGGACAGGATCAAAGCTTAGCAGCGCTGGTTCGACCTCCGCCTCCAGATTGATCAAGAAGCCGCGGTTTTTGACGAGCGAATCCACTCGGCCCATGAACACAAGCTGCCCATCTTCGCGTCTCCGTGCAAGGTCTCCAGTTCTGTAGAAACGCTCCCCTTTCCACTGGATAAACTTTGTTGCCGTGTACTCGTCGTTGTTCAGGTAACCGGCAGCCAGACCCGGCCCGGAAATCATGACTTCGCCGGCGTCAACCTCCTGTAGATCGGCGTCTACAAGTACGACCTTCACGCTTGACATCAGCTCGCCGAAAGTAGGCTCTCCTTCGGGGCTAAGATCCCCCACACTGATGATACAGGTGGTCTCGGACGGCCCATAGGTATTGATAACCCTACGCTGAGGGCTTATCCAGTGCTGGTAGACTTCGCGTGAAGGCGCTTCGGCGCCTAAAAAGATGATGCGCACCCGGTCGTAAGGCCCCGCGGAGTCAAGTGCTGCCAGCACTGATGGTGTCAGAGTCAACACTTCACACGTGCCAGCAACTTCGTGGAAGTTTGATGGCGAAGCCATCACCAGCGTGCGGCCCCTTCTCAGAGTGCCCCAGACGGTTGCCTGGCACCCGTCGAACGCAACGGAAGCGGCGAGCAAGCACCGGACCCCGCGTGCTTCTACCTCGGGCTCTAGGTTGTCGTAGTCTAGGAACTCCGGTAGTAGTGCCTGGATACCTCTGTGACAGACCATGACACCTTTTGGCTTGCCTGTAGTCCCAGAGGTGAAGATGATCCAAGCGAGATGGTCGGGGCGGAGTCCGCTGCGGATTGCACCTAGCCTAGCGAACAGTCCATCGGTGTCTTCCAGAGATTGACGCAGCCATTGCTTTTGGAAGTTCACGGTGATAATAGGCAGCTGTAGCCCAGGACAGTGGCCCGTGACAAGAGCTGTGGGTGCGGAGAGCTCTGACAAAGCCTGCTCGATACGTGTGCGACCCCAGGCGGCCACATCCATGGGGGCAAAACAAGCTCCGACTCTTAGAATGCCCACCAGGGCGGGGATCATCTCGAGCGACATGTCCGTCAGAAGCGGCACCCTGTCCCCTGGATGTACTCCAGCGGACAGCAGGGCCCTACTGACATGGAGCGACGCGGTCCTTAGCTCGGCGTACGTGATAGTCTCTCCCTCAAACTCAGCAGCTATTCCGGAAGGTCTTTTAGCAGCCCAGTCATCGACGACCTCGAGAATTGTGGCTTTAAGCGGCTCGGAAGCAAAACTGTCGTCCAATGCGGGCATTCTGGGAAGGCGTATTGTCGTCACTGTGATGTTTCGCGAGTTTTAGGGGTAAACTTCTGATTGCTTCAGCTATCAACGCCTCGGAGAGTGTCTCTTGATGACGGAGGTTTTCGAGGGCGGATGTTTGGCTGATGGCTGACACCTGTGGCTGACCTTGCATGCACATCATCGCGCGAGATGTAATTGAGAACCCACGGAGCGGCGAAAATACTGGCCGATTCTGAAAGCCCTCAATGCGGCTATCTTATTTGTCTATTACCTTTGTAGTCCGATTGCGGACAGTAGTCTCGCCGAGGCCTGATGGCAGACTTTGCACAGGCGCGCATAAGTTGTCTATGAATTAGCTACCATGATCAAGTATCATGTTCATCACGAGTACTATCAGCATCTAATACCCGATTTGCCCTTCACTCCCGATCTTTATCTCCAATTCCAGACATGGCTGCCAAGGCCAAAGCATCGCCTCTGCTCACTCTCCCGACTATTCGTCTCAACCACCTCCGATCCGGAGATGCTGCCGAGAGCAAGAAATTGATTGGCGCCTGCCGGAACTGTGGCTTCTTCTATCTTGACTTGAGTAGCGATGATATCCTGTGTCGGCAGTGGGAGGAGATGCTTGCTTCAATGAAGGACTATTTCGGACAGCCGCTCGATGTCAAGATGCAGGACGCGCGTCAGAGCGATAACTACGGATACGAGCCTCAAGGAACCCAGGTAGGCCCCTGGCCAGAAACTGTCGACGGATACGAAACCCTCAAGATATCGCGCCGGGAGTTTCTCAAAGGCTCGACCGACCTCACAACAGCGTCAGCGCTGGCTAAGACGGAGTTATTCTTCAGCTTCTCACGCAAGGCGCACGAAGTTACGATGATAATACTACAGAGGCTCTCTGACGAGATGGGCCTCGCGGGTGACGACCGTTTTGAAGCCTTCCACAACGACACAATCCCGTCACTCACCAACCTTACGCTGTTGCGATACCCGAAGCACAACGAGCTGAAGGGAAGCAGCGTGGGTCACAACAAGCACACCGACATTGGCTCACTCACCTTTTTGCTTGCTGAACAGTGGGGCCTTCAGGCCCTCTCGCCGGATCAGGAGACCTGGGGTTTTGTTGAGCCTCGTAGCAAGCACGCCGTCATCAATGTTGGCGACAGCTTGCGTTTCTCTTCCATGGGACAGCTTCTTTCGGCAGTGCACCGCGTTATTCCGATACATGAGAAGCAGGACGAAGATCGTTACAGCGTTGCTTACTTCCTGCGCAGAGGTAACGATACTCTGTTCCGCGACGGCACCGGAACGATTTGGACAGCGAAAGAATGGCACGACTTCAAGTTCAATGCTTTCCGCGCCCCTACCTCGCCTATGCAGGTGTTGACGGGAATGATGGAAAAGAACGATGTGCATGTTGGCTATATAGAGAAGACTGGAGCGGCGGACGGCGATTGCTATTGGTGATGCGCCTATCTCCCTTAATCTATCTCCCTGCGACTGCTGCGGGTCAGGCCTTGTTTGTCTTAATTGGGCATCGCGCTGGATCCGACCCCCTTTTTGCTCCTCTTTTTGGCCTAGATCGGTGGACTTGACCATGGCGCCACCTATTACAGTCTTACTCTATCCGATATATAGCCACGGATCGCTGGCTTTCCGTAACCCTAACTTCCTTATTCCGTTTAGCGCGTCGGCTAAGCGAGCAGCGAACGACTGGAATCCGTCAAACAGAACCCCTGGAATCCGTCCCCCATCCTGTGCCTAGATCCTATTATAATAGTAGGCAAACTTTTAGGCTTTAACTTAAACTTGCCCCTGCTAGTGTTTTTTTTGCGAAAATGTACAGATGTGGTGGTGTTTTGCCGCAACCCTAACTGCGCGGTGGATTTTGATTTTCCTGCGCGCGCAGGCATCGCGCGCGCATTGC